TTCTTTCTTTTTTTCATTCTTTTTTTCCCCTTTGGTACCAGGGATTGAACATAGGGGTCCTTAACCACTGAGGCACATCCCCTTGTTTTTCTTTAATTGTTTATTTTGAAACAGGGTTTCACTAGTTGCTCACAGTTTGCTAAATTGCTGAGACTAGCTTTGAGCCTAGGAAATTCCTGCCTCAGCCTCCCCAGCCGCTGGAATTATAGATATGCACTACCACTCAGCTATGCCCTGTATTGTACTGTTTGTCCCTCTCCGTTTATTAATTAATCCTAGTATGTATCTGAATGTTCCTATGTCCTTCAAGGTTCTGGTCAAATACTATTTTCTTTTTTTAATATTTATTTTTTAGCTCTAGTTGGACACAATACCTTTATTTTATATATTTATTTTTTTGTCGTGCTGAGGATCAAACTCAGGTCCTTGCACATGCTAGGCAAGTGCTCTACCACTGAGCCACATCCCCAGCCTAAGTATAATTTGTATCATGAAATCTGTCTTAATTTCCCATAACTAAAAATAATCTCTACTTTGATTTCATTTTATATATACCTTTCTTAAGTTTTATGGATTCCCAATTTTTAATGTATAAATTCATATCAAGAGGTCCTATTGTTATCCATATAAGACAAGTACAATGTAGAAGTAATTGGAACACCAGAAACAAAAACACAACACTTTATTAGCTGAATTCAGGGTTCATGGCTTTTTTTTTAACTTGAGAAAAATAGAGATGATATTTATAGACATTTGTAAAATTCCTTGCACTGTGGATTAGCTACATTCTCTCTACATGTCTCTAGCTTTAATATCTCATTTCCTGCTAACCATAATTTAGCCTACCATTCTAACTTTACCATGTGATTAGACAGTTTAGGGAGAGATTAATGCAAAGTGGAAAAATCAGATCAGGGTCCATCAAACTTTATGATGAAAGTATGCATCTATGTTAGTTGGCTAAGCAAATCTTGTATTTTGTATGAAGTTTCTCCCATTACTAAAAAGACTATAATATTGAGTTAACTAATATTTTTAAAATGTGAGATGTAGTGCATAGTTGCAAAGCTGACAATGTATTAATAAAATGACACCATACATTGATCAATCTTATAGTTTGAATTGGTTAACTTAGAGATCAGGATGACCCATTTCTCACATTTTTTTCACTAATGCTATTTTGTCAGTTAACTTGCAAGGAGATAAGCAAAGCATATAAAGTGCATTGGATCTCAAGTTTTAAATGCACTATTCCTTATTTCAAAACATTTACCCTAGGAGATCTTGTACTTGTTCTGAGTGAATAAAAGTCCCATTTCATATTTCCTCTTCTTATTTGTTATGTAGATGATTATAACCTCAAAAAAGGAAAATAATACACGAGAACATAGTTTGATCATTTTCTGAAAATTCCCCTTAACACAAATGATTAAATGAAGTTGGATTTTTTGATTACTTACAAAAGAGTTCAGACTTGATTGACCTTCTTATCTCAATAAGGCATTTATTCAGGATTAGCAAGTTAAAAGGGCTTGGGTGTATTAGCCTCTTCGAGGCTTTAGGAAAGATGGATTATCAAGATATATGCTTTGCATCTTTCACTCTTTAATCTTACATTGAAGAAATAACAGTGGGCTGAAAACTTCACTTTTCTTCAAGATGCATTGCTAAGGAAAACTTGACTCCTTGGAAGTTATAACCTTTCCAACAGTGATGACTACTTTTAGAAGTCGATGTTCTGAAGAAAGTCCTGGGATGGAAAAATAACCAAGTGAAAGAATGCTTACCTAGTATGTGCAGGCCCCAGGATAGATCCCCAGCATAATATACATACATGCATGCATGCATGCATACATACATAAACACAAATACATAAATTTAATAGCTTCTAAGCAGTATCCACAACTGCTAGTGAAGTTCTACCTCTAGACAAATCAGTTTTCAGAAACCACATTAAATGTTCTCTTAGTCAGGAAAACTTCAGTTAAATATACCTACCAAGTAAAATGAGGTTCTCTCTATCACACAATGTTGGGTAGTGGCCAAATCATAATCCTGACGGGTGTCTCAAGCGGTTTCTGCTGTTTCATCCCATCCAAAAATATGACACAATTCTGCCAAATACCATTAACTAATTGTTCTTTCCAGGATATTCAATAGAATTAATATTTTAGACAGCTTTTTCTCTGCTGTGATTAAAAGACCCGACAAGCACAGTTTTAGGAGAGGAAACATTTCTTTGGGGTTCACAGTTTCAGAGCTCTGTGTCTGTAGATGGCAGGCTCTCTTGCTGTGGCTGGAAGTAAGGCAGAATACCATAGCTCAACAGTGTGACAGAGAAAAACAGCTCAGGACATGACAATCAAGAATCAGAGCGAGCTGGGTGTGTGCAAGTCTGTAATCCCAGAGGCTTGGGGGACTGAGGCAGGAGGGTCATCCTCAGCAATGGTGAGGCACTTGGCAACTCAACAAGACTCTGTCTCTAAATACAATACAAAATAGGTCTGAGGATGTGGCTCAGTGGTTGAGTGCCCCTGAGTTCAATCCCTAGTACGTGCCCCCTCATCCCCCCAAAAAAGAATCAGAGAGAACTCCCCTCACCATGGAAAACATATAAACTCCAAAAACATGTCCCCAGAAACCCACTTCTTCCAACCATACCCTACCTGTATAAAGTCACTGCCCAATTAATACCTATTAGAGAATTAATGCACTGATAAGGTTAAGGCTCTCAAAACCAGATCATCTCACCTCTACATTTTATTGCATGGTCTCACACATGAGCTCTGGGGGGGGGGGGACACCTCATATCTAAACCATAACAATGAGGCTTCTTTCTATTCACATTTACCACTAAAACAAAAGTCATGTCATTAGCATGGTTTCGCTGTTAGACTCTGAAGAGTTAATCATTTCTTTCAGATGAAGTGGCTACCTGAATAAATCATGATTGACTAAAAAAATTTTAAATGACATCAAACCTGAGAAGGGGGCCACAATAGGAATTATTGATAACATTAGTTACACCAGTGATACTGTATATAGTGATCCATTAGCCATACCGAATGACTGCACACATTATATACTGCTACATTAATATTACTAAGATAATTAAGCATCTCCTGGATAAATATGCTTCATTAGCATGTATTATGTCATATGTTTATGTCTCCACTCAAGTTACAAACAGTATATTAGCAAAATTGTGGCAATGGAAATCACAAAGCTTACATGGTTACAAAAATACTTTCAGCACAGTTGGATTCTGTGCCACACTGACATTAAAAAAAGTCAAAGTTTTAATTATCACATGACAACCAATAAAATGTGATGAGAGGGTCACAATGAAAATTTAATTTTGTGCAGAGACTTCATGTCTTTACATCCACACAAAACAATAATCAGCATGCAATAGATGCTAAATATATTGAATAATTGCACATTACATCATTATATGAAAAAAATCATACATAATAGTTCATATACTTATAATACAGTTACTTACATTATACATATAAATTATTACATATTAATATATATAATACCATAATAAATAACATATCACATTTAATTATGTAATATGTGGGCTGTTGTTCGATTTCAATATATATTTGCTTTCCAAATTGCAACATTGCTCACTTAAAATAGATGAAATACAGTTTCCCTCTCAATTTATCTCTATATTTCAGTTAAGCAAATTCCAAGTTACATATTCATAAGTTAAGTTTTAGCCCTCACATATTAGTCTTCCTGACACTTTTAAAAAATGTTTTCATTCATTAATCAAACTCCCAATTACTTCCATTTGTTATATTAAATATTTCACAAATTGGCCACTGTTTGTAAATATCCTGTCAAGGTCAGGTAACTAGGCTCTCCCACAAGTAACTCATGTAATAGCTTATATTCTTCAGTTTATTTTTTGTTCTCTTAATTTCTAAGTTATGAACACACAGACACATACACATCTTTTTAATTCCCTATCTTCATAGCACTATTACTTCATACTTATTCATTAATTATTTTGAGTAACTTTTAGTGCTTATAATATAGCAGACATTTAGGATACAAAGGTAAATAATACCTAGTTACCTCCTCCTGTTCTCTAATAACTGAGTGACTTTTTATTTATAGTTACTTGCTGATTATGCCCAGTCTGTCTAGTCTTGGAATCATCAGCCTCACTTTTGAAGCACCATAGCATGTATGTGGTATGGAGTTGAGCTTGGAATTCAGTCTTGCAATGGCTCAGTTTCTCTATCAGCCAATTATTAACCCTGTGATGTGGGTAGAATTAATCTGCCTTTATTTTAATCAGCAAATGTTACTGAAAAATAAAGATGATAGTAGTGCAAATTTCCTAGGTATTGAGAAAGATTTAGTGACATGCATGAGACAAGGAAAACTCTTAACATAGTGTTTCATGTGTTATAATTGCTCAAAGACTTATATGTGGTAACTTGAAAACATTTGAAACCAGTGGACCTAAATAATTGGAGTTAATTTTTCAGACTAAAAACTTAATTAGGAAATTAGCTTTTTAGAATAAGCCTTCTAGATAATTTAGTAGCTATTTTCCTCTTAAATTTGTACTTAATTGTGATTTTTTGTGATGTAATCATTATACAAATACCACAAATTAGTAAGTAACATTGCTGAAAAGATAAATTTATTTTTTAAAGCAAATTTGTGAGTTTATTTTTAACTTTAATGGCTACATCATACATATGACGAAACTTTGAATAACAGGTATAAAATAGAAGGAAATAAAACAATACCAGGCAGTAGAAATTGCCAGAAGTCTTGACTTTTAGTTTATATAATCCACATACACAATTAAAGGAAAAGTTAAGAAAATGGCTGGTTTTTTTCTCTAAAAATATTGAGCTTAAGTGCTATTAATTAGCAGGAACTTTATAATCTGAAAATTTAAACTTTTGAAAAAAAATCTAAAATGGTGGCTTTACTAATATGTTATTATTGTTCTTTTTATCCCTTAGGAGTACACAATTGATATAATTTTTGCCCAAACCTGGTTTGACAGCCGTTTGAAGTTCAACAGTACCATGAAAGTGCTCATGCTTAACAGTAATATGGTTGGAAAAATTTGGATTCCTGACACTTTTTTCAGAAATTCAAGAAAATCAGATGCACACTGGATAACAACTCCGAATCGCCTGCTGCGGATTTGGAATGATGGACGAGTTCTATATACTCTCAGGTAATATTGTTTGAAAAATTTGTAGTTGCTCTAATTTATTTTCAAAACTAATATTTAATTAGTGTCTGCATTTTCTCCTTCTTCCAACTTACAAATTTAGAAAATGTGTAGCTCTTTTTCTTCTGCTAAAATCTAAAATGGCGAAATGTTTTGGCAGTATTTAATCTCAGGGTTACTATTATGTGAAAAGTAACCTGTAATGCAAATCACTGAGATTTTTCTCTAGCATCCTATTTTGCTATAAAATTGTATAATCTAAATTTCAAACAACTTCAATTAATAAAACATTCTTAAGAAAGTACTAGAAATTTCTCAAGAAATGATTGACATATAAGTTTGCTGTGCAAGGTTCAAATATATTTAGTTCATTTCCTTGAAGATATCTACTTATTAAAAATCATTCTTGGGGCTGAGGATATAACTCAGTTGGTAGAGTGCTTGGCTTGAATGCACAAGGCCCTGGATTCAGTCCCCAGCACCACAAACAAAACAAAACAAAACAAAACATTCTTAATGGGAAAATAGTCCTGATATATTAAGATGAAAAACATCATAACACTTAACTATGTACAATTTGTTAATCTGGTGTATGTATGCCTGTATATGTGCATGTGTATCGGTGAAGATCCTGAACTATAAATTTTTTAGCCATTATTATTTTTGTATTGGTTCTTTTTGGTAATACATGAAGTTGAATCTGTTTTAATATAATTATACAAGTATGGTGAAGTATGACTTTTTAAGTACCAAGATTTTATTAAAATATATACAGAAGTGATCTGATTGGCTGGAAAAGAGAATGTTAGAATTTTCATATTTAACTACGAATGTTATAATATCATTTAAGACTTTGAGATTTTAAAATGATTATTACATTCTAATCCTACATACTTCATTATTGTGGTCTAAAATCATGTTTTAAAATTAGACAAGAGAGTCTAATGATGGAAAATTGTCTTTATTTAATATTATCTTTTCATCTAAATATAGATTGACAATTAATGCAGAATGTTACCTTCAGCTTCATAACTTTCCTATGGATGAACATTCTTGTCCACTGGAATTTTCAAGCTGTAAGTCAGAAAATACTTGATAATTTCATACAGTTTAGTCTCAAATCTCATTTCTTTAAAAAATGTAAAGCAAAATGAGAAAAAAAAGACAGTTTTTAGAAGAGTGGATTATATTCAACTCTCTTAGATAAAAGAATTACAAATAGTACATGAATTCCTTGCTTTTAAACTAAAAAACAATAAATAGGTAGTGAATGTATAATACGTACGTTTTATTAAATCATTTATTAAATCATCTTTACAACTTTCAGTGTATTCAAGTCTATTTTTCTTAGCTTGAATAAATAAGGGAATACTTAAGATAGGTTTGTTTTCACATATTTTTACAGAGTAAAGAAAAATTGATTCAAAGTATATTCATTTTGCTGGAGGCAGCATCTAAATTTATAGCCTTGGATTTTAAAATGTTTCAAAAATTGCTTGGGTGAAGGGTATTTACTACATGAAAGTAAATATTTGAAAAGACTTTAATGAGTTGGAGATGAGCTTTTTTTAATTAAAGGTAAAAAATGTAACACAAGAGTGGTTAGAACTAACTAAATTGAACTTAAATTTTATTCCAAAAAACAGTTATAATATTTTTATTGCAATATTAATTTTATTTTATGTTTACAAAAATATTTGTATTCTCATATATTCTTAGGAAAATTCTGATCTAAAAAATAATTAGACAATATATATGACTTTTAAAAATGCTATTGCCTATATCCACAAATCATTTAATGCTATTTTACTTCCTTCACAATTGGATTTTTTTTTCACGGTTCAGAATGTATTCTAGAACCTATTCTTAGTATATTGTGATACAGGTTTTTACTCATAAGTATTTCCCCACCTCTTACTTAGTAAATTCTAAATATCTCTGTTGCCCTTTATTAAAGATTTTATTGGATTATCTTCATAAATTTTATTTTATTATATTAATGATCTTATATCTCAATGTATAAAGACAGCTAAATCAGGGCAAAAGACTTGATAAATAGGAATTATCAAGGAAGAGTTGACATGTAAATATTGGATGATGTAGCATTTAATGCACTTTCCCCTATTTGACATTCTTAAAATCTTGTGATGTGCTTTGACTTTGCTTGCCATTACTGGAAATGAATAATCCATCCCTGTAAATGCAATTGGGTGTCAATGACACAATACAATCATCCTAACTTCCTTTGTCAGGTATTCTGTACAGGCTCAGTAGAAAATTTAGCCTCTACCTCTAATATTTCACAACAAAGATTTGTAAAAGATTTTACTCTAGCCCCAATTTAAAGTCAATGTCTTGAGAGAGAGGTTAAGTATCTACACAACCACGTTTATTTATACCCACATTCCTATATGTTATCACTTTTCACTCAATTACCTCTGTGATTATAATGAATAGGAACTATGGAAAAGCACTGTAACCACAGCCCTTGAGAGCAAAAAAGGAAAACATTCTTAAATAGGTCAGCAGAGATGAAAGCAAATTTATTGTATTACCAATAGGAGATCCTGCAAAATAATATACTGTTTTGGAAATATTAGAATATTTGTGAATTCTGATTTTGAAATATGGTACAGCACTCCTTGTGCTGAAACAATTAGAAACTTCGTAGTATTACAATATTTCCAAACACAGATGAGCAATCAAAAATAGGAAGTAATGTTTGTCCACCAAAAAAAAAAAAAATCAAATAAAAAGTTGAAGTCAGAAGGATAAGTTTGCAGGCAATTGTGACCTAGGGACATTTCAAAACATGGAAATTCCGTGCTTTCGTTTTGACAGTCTTGTGGGGTGAATTCTAATATAATAAAATCTTTACATAAATCTGAGATATAAAATGTTATATACTTTAGATCACTGAAGAAGTGTCCCCACTCCCAAATTCCAAGGACTAAAATATAAGTTGGCTGTGATATTAATATATAGGGTGAAATAACTGTTAAATATGATTATGCTTTGAACATGCATATTTCATTCAGTTTTTTCCTATATTTGGTATATCTTATAATAACACACAAGGGAAGAATCTCCAAGAGTTGGTTTTTGGATAATGTTGGTATTGCAATGTTAGCAGCTTTGGAACTTGCTTATCTATATATTTTTTATTTCAATTTTCCTTCCAGATGGATATCCTAAAAATGAAATTGAATATAAGTGGAAAAAACCCTCTGTGGAAGTGGCTGATCCTAAATACTGGAGATTATATCAGTTTGCATTTGTAGGGTTACGGAACACAACTGAAATCTCTCACACAATCTCTGGTAAGGAGAAAACACAAATTGGTGAATGATACTAGTAGAGAATGGCATTGGCATTTAACTATATGAATTGAAATATATATTTTTATGCATTTTCTAGCCAAAGTAAAACATGTATTTTTCTTCCAGGCGATTATATTATCATGACAATTTTTTTTGACCTGAGCAGACGAATGGGATATTTCACTATCCAGACCTACATTCCATGCATTCTTACAGTTGTTCTTTCTTGGGTGTCTTTTTGGATCAATAAAGATGCAGTACCTGCAAGAACATCACTGGGTATGGTATATAATATTATGCTATATTATCAGAGGGTTTTCAAAAATATTCTAATAAAAGTCTACAGGAGAAAATACTAGAAATATTCCTCTAGACCATAATCAAGGGGAAAATGTACTGAAATTCTATTGAAATACCATTTGAAAGAACTGTATAAAGGACAAGTAGAAAAGAAAGTAAATAACTTGAACTTTAGAAAATTCCTTATTTTTCATGCTGAAGGAAGTCAAAGGAAATATAGTTCACAATAAGAATTAATAAATGAAAATCTCTAAATAAATATCTAAATCTCATTTTGGTAAATATTTTCAATGACTTTGATCAGTTTTATTTTACCACTAATAATCAGCATGTATATAAAACTCCTTCCTCAAATGTTTCAAATGAATAGTCAGATGTTCCACATGGCAGGTACCTGGAAGGATCAAGAAACTCCCTAGCTTATGCAATATATAAAATGTGCAATTAATCTGTGAATATTTGAAGTTTGCTGTTTAAAGAGTAATTTGTAATTCATACTGGATAAAATGGATTTTTTTCTCTTCTTATAGTAATCTATTGCAGCTCCAAATCATTTGAGGAAATCAGGGTCTAACTACCATATATTTTTTAAATGAAAGTGATGATCTATATTCATGTATTCCTACACAAAGAAAATTTATTGATTTATTTTCAAGATCAGTCTAAAATATGAATCTTAACTGTATGTGAATCGTTATCCACTGATAATTATGTATTAAAAACATAAAGACATTTGAGACAATTGCTATTTTAATGGTAAAGAGTTTTCATGTGAATTCTCTGATAACTGGCAAATAACTCCATTTAATAAATAGTGAACTGCAATTCACATAAAAGTGGCAGCAATAAAACCTGAAACATGTAGCTCTAGAAATGCCTTTTCTTTGAGACTCTAAGTACTTATTAATAAGTGTTATTTCTTTCTATTATTTCAAATTATTTTGTTTTAAAGCACTTTCATTATTATAGTTTCTTTATATACTATTACAATTATAAGTTAACATAGTATATTTGGTTTTATTTTCATATTGTTTTTCCAAAGAGAATTTGAATGGATTGTTTCTACTATTGAATTTGTATTTAAAAAATCATATGCTATGGTGTCATAAAACAGCAGATCCAATTTTATGATTTTACATAAATTCATATATTTTTAATACTAGCATTTGTCAAGATAGGCATAGCTAGATCAAATTAAAGTATACTTCCTATAATTCTGAGCCCTATGAAGTTGTAATTAATTTTATAAGCGTTCATACGTATGTTTACATCTTGTTGAGGGACAATTTATTGAAGAAATTTATTCAACATTGCATTTTAACATTTATGAAATGTTTTCTGTGAAAATTACAAGACATGTGGGTGGACATGTTTGCTATACCATGATGTGGTGTCCAGAGAGTTCTCTGTGGAGGTGGCATTTGAGTAGTGACCTAATGGTGAAGTACTTGATCGATATTTGGTAGAAGAATAATCAAGGCAGGAAGAACCTGTCAGGGTAAGCTTGATGTTCAGAAAGATGACAGGTGTGGCTAGAACTGACTGAATAGTGTCAGAAGATGAGATTGGAGAGTGGACAGTGCTTGGATCATTTAAGTCTTTGTGAGCCACTTTTGGAACTTGGATTTTTTTCCACACTTGATGGGAGATTATCATAGGCTCTTGACCAGAGGAATCCATGGAGAAAATAACAATGATATCTGAATTGGTTTCTTCTTGTCCTGTTAATATTCCAAACATTTTTTATTAGCATAAGTTCGGAGGTACTTTAATAGGAAATCCATCATGGTCTTCTCAATTTAATCACTGTGATATTAATTGCTAAATTAGAGAAACACATTTCTGAAAGCTAAGTTGTACTGTGGTTTTCCTTGCTTTATTAAACAGAAATGTAATAGTGTTTTATTAAGGTAAAATTTAATATAATCATTGATAATAAAATACATGCACACATCGACTCTTGGCTTTTAAATAGAGATGGGACAGAGAAATCTTTTGTTTGATTATGGGGTCTTTGTAATTTACTACTCACCACCCCCAACAAAAAGAAGTGTGGAAGTTGAAGAAAAAAGGTTACTTGCATTCATTGAAAGTATTTAGCATTACCATATACAAATCCTTTAGAATACAGTTTTGGTTTCAAAATAATTGAAGTAAAAATTCTCAGGAATAATGAGAGAAATGGACAACTTTGCAATTGTAATTGGACATTTTAAGGTCCCCTTCTCAATTAGTGAAGAAAAAAAAATCATTCAAGATGTAGAAGATCTTAATGAGATCACCAACTGCATGAACTGATTTATATTTACTAAACACAGCAACTAACTTCAGTACATAATATATTTTCCAATGCATATGGAACATTAACCAAGATTTCAACACAATTCAAAAGATTCAAGTTTTCCTGAGCATATTTTTGAACAAAAATGGAAGTAAATTAAAAGTTAATAAACATAATGTAACTAACAATGTCCTCAAAGTTTTAAAATTTTAAAAAGAATGAACTTTTAGGTAACCTTTGGGTCCAGTAAGGAACAAAGGGAAGTTAGACAATATTTCAAACTGAATTTTAATAGAACATAGCATAAATTCAGGTGGGATATAGGTGGACATAATGTTTGCTATCATGCAATGTGGTGTCTATATAAATCTATAAAAGTGGCATTAGAACCGTGATTAATGAAGTATGAGGCTGACACACTACTTAGATTAGAAATTATAGTTTTAAATACTAATATTAGAAATGAATAAAGATTTAAAATCAGTAACCTAAATATCCATTTTAAGAATAAGTAAATTAATTACTTCTTATATATTGATTATAGGTATCAAGCAAGGTACTACTGTGCTAGTTTTTTAGGTGAGAGGCATAGGAGTAAGAAAATTTCCTTATGATTACAAAGATAATAGGTGGGTCAGGGATTAATTCTGTATTTGCTTCCAATGCACTTGTGACATTTTCTGTTCCAATACTAAGAACTGTTAAAACTAGAAAGTCACAGGAATTCTTACACGGCAACATGATGGAAAATGGTAGTTACTGCCTTCACCATAACAAAGAGGCTGTTGCTACAGCTTTATTGTTTTATTATCATGAATGTTGTCATTCTATAAATATTGGCCAAATTAAGAAGCATTTAGCATTATATGTAGTACTTTGAAGGGTAAACAGTGCCAACCATAGAGCCATATATAGTGTGCTAAAGAAGGGAAATTGTAGCAGTTTAGGCAAAGAGAGACCTAGCAAGTGCATCTGTGATTTAGGTGACCAAGGTGAGGCAGGACATGATGGTGGAAGGACCTGGTGGGGCAGCATTTATAGCATCCAGGAAGCAAAGAGAAAGAAGGGGCCATAGGGAATATGTACCCTCTGAGGGCTTCCTCCTAGTGACCAGCCTCCTCCAGTCATAAACCATCTGCCTACAATTCCCACTCAGCCCATTCAAACTAGGATGAGCTGATCAGGCTGCAGTTCCTACAATCCAGTGATTTCACCTCCAGACATTCAGTGATTAGCACAGGAGCTTTTGGAAGACACTTCATATGTAAACCATAACAGGACCTAAGATTAATGGCAGGAACCACAAGAAAGCCAATGGGTAAAGAGATGCAGTTATGTCCAAAGACAACGCCCTGAGACAGTAGGGTAGGGCTCTTGCACTTATTCCTATTCCACATGTTGAGTGCCTAAAAATGTAAATCTTTACCTCGTCCTTCTGAAGTATTCACTTTATATAATTATGCCTGGATAATTAAACTCTGAGGTTAAAAAGTAGGTTGAAGTCAATTTATCAAATAAGAAGGCTCTATGTTCATTTGGATTCATTTTAACCACATATAGCAGGTAACCTTTAATAGCTGTTCTCCAATTAGGTAGAATGGTATTTGTTTCTCCTGTGCAAGTCCAGTCGTAGGCAGTGCAAGGTGATATGGCACACTGCAGTAGGAGGAATTCAGGCTGTTAGCTTTCTTCTAAGTTATGGGTGATCTGAATTCCAAGGATCATTTGCTGGTCTAAGATGATGACAGGCTCTCCATCCATTGCATTCTGGCAGAACAGTTCCAGAGGGAGAGAGAAAGAAAGGCCTTTCCCAGTTCATTAAAACCGTTTTTTAGACTGCTTCCATTGACTCGGGTCTCCTTGGCTAGGTATTAGCCTGTGGTTACACCCTGTTGCTGAGAAGGTGGCAAATAAAGTTGTTCTTCCAGGCAACAACATACTAGTTTAAAAATTGGTATTTTATTACTATGGAGAAAGAGAAGGATGGGTATCAGGCATTAATTTGCAGCCCACAGTAATTTAAATGACTAAAATTCACAGACACAAAAAGCGCATGGAACATAGCGTAGCCATGGTTACCAGTAATTCTTTCTGTAAATCCCTGGTAATCATATTCTTTTGTTTCCATTGTTTATTTAAGCTCAAAATATTGCCAGATCAGATGGAAAAGTAAAGTGGTGTGTTAAATTATTTTTAATCTATTTATCCCCCTCTCTCTATAGGTATCACTACCGTTTTGACTATGACAACCCTGAGTACAATTGCCAGGAAGTCTTTACCTAAGGTTTCTTACGTGACTGCGATGGATCTCTTTGTTTCTGTGTGTTTCATTTTTGTTTTTGCAGCCTTGATGGAATATGGAACCTTGCACTATTTTACTAGCAACAAAAAAGCAAAGACTACTAGAGACAGGAAGCTAAAAAGCAAGGCCTCGGTATGTCACAAAAGATTTTTTCATAAAAGCCAGCTGACATGGAGATGCTGTTTCAAATACTTATGTGGTATTTATGGTGCTAGGGAGTGTTTGAGGCACTGTGACAAAAGATATGTATGTAGAAAGATAAAAATGGAGAGCCCAACATTACCTGCCAATTTTTGTATCTATATTTCCTCAGTATTCCTATTGGATCTCCCATGCAGAGTAATTTCTAATACTGTAAAATCTTCCACAAGTGGTATGCTTTTTGCACCTAAAACAATTTTTAAGATTTGTCTTCGATTCTATTTTTGTGTTAGAATTTGGAATTCTAAAAAATTCAAATTGTTACATGTTTATACTCCCTTAGTCCCCCTTTCTTAGCATATCTACCTTAACTTATATTGTATCAGTTTATATATTAAAATTTATTTTACTGATCCTAATATACTTAAGTATTGGATAATTGACCATAATTTCCTCTTATAATGACAATTATTGATTTGACATTTATATCTAACACTGAGTGTTTCAGGCACTCTTCAGAGCATTCTATATGCATGATTTCATTTATTCTCAGAGCAAGAATTAAAGAATAAGTTCAGTGATTTGCAGAAGGACAGCATAGTAAGTGAGAGATCTAAGACTCAAACACAGGTCTGTTTTGGTATGAGAGCTCAAACTTGTAACTCTTTCTTTGTATTTCCCTTATTGTTAGGGAACTCAAAAAAGTAGACATTTATTTCTCCAGAATGAAAAACAAAGATAATCATTGTTAATTTTAGTAAATATTTTTAAAACAGATTTGTTCCAAAATACTCAAATAAATTATAACTGTATACACCAGATATGATAGATGTGAGCTTAAAAGTCTGCCGTGTTATATATAGTGTGAGGCATGGAGTTAGTTTCAGGATTCAGTGATTTTTTTTCTCCTTCTCATTTTTCACTCATTTTTTAAATGAATTTTTGCCCTACATTTAAATTTTTAAATATTTATTTTTTTAGTTGTTGTTGAACACAATACCTTTATTTCACTTATTTATTCTTACGTGGTGCTGAGGATCGAACCCAGGGTCTCACACATGTGAGGCAAGTACTCTACTGCTGAGCCACAACCCTAGTCCCTTAAATTATAATTTACTTTTCAATTTGTATTCCAATAAGCAAGCCCTGTTATATTTTGTTTTCTGACTCCCACAACATAAAAGCAAAACATGTTGTTGGCAGTACAAATTTGAATATTTATGTTGTACAATGATCCTGTGACTCTCTCATGTTACATGACTTTAGCTTATACATGGGACATAGTGATGTTCCTGAATGAATACATCAGAGAGCAAGAATGTCAGTTTTAATATTCAGTGCTATTTTTTATTCATCCTAATTAGTTCTACATGACATAGAATGCATTTTTTAAAATTTGTTCTAATTAGTTATACATGACAAATAGAATGCATTTATGCACTTTGTTGTACCATACATCAATGGAATATGATTTCTCATTTTTCTAATTTTACATGTGATGTAGAATCACACCAGTCATGTGGTCATATGTGTTCATAAGGGAATAATGTCTGTTTCATTCTACTGTCCTTTCTATCCCTATATCCCCTCCCTCCCTTCACTCCCCTTTACCTAATCTAAAGTAACTCTATTCTTCCCTAGCACTGCCCCCCTTGTTATGAATTAGCATCTGCATATTAGAGAAAACATTCGGTCTTAGTTTTTCTGGGAGTGGCTTATTTCGCTTAGCATGATAGTCTCAAACTCCATCCACTTACCAGCAAATGTCATAATTTCATTCTTATTTAAAGCTGAATAATATTCCATTGAATATGAATACACACACACACACACACACACACACACACACACACACCACATTTTCTTTATCCATTCCTCTATTGAAGGACACCTAGGATGGTCTCATAGTTTAGCTATTGTGAAGTGAGCTGCTATAAACATTGACGTGGTTGCAACACTGTACTATGCTGATTTTAAGTCCTTCGGGTATAAACCAAAGAGTGGGATAGCTAGGTCAAATGGTGATTGCATTCCAAGTTTTCTGAGAAATCTTTATACTGCTTTCCATAGTGGTTGTTCCAACTTCCAGTCTCACAGCAATGTATGATTCACAATAGTCTCAAAATAAATAAATGGAATACTTGGGAATCAATCTAACAAAAGAGGTGAAAGACCTCTACAATGAAAACTACAAAACAATAAAAAAAAAAGTAATTTAAGAAGACCTTAGAAGATAGAATGCATTTTGAATATATCATACATACTTGGAGTATAACTTTTCATTCTTTTGGTCAAACATGATGTAAAGTTACACTGATCATGTAATCATACATGTACATAGGGTAATAAGGTCTGATCCATTCCACTATCATTCCTACTCCCATATCCCCTCTCCTCCCTTCACTCCCCTCTGTCTAATCCAGAGTACCTCTATTCTTCCCTAGCACCTCCCCTTATTGTGAATTAGCATCTACATATCAGAGAAACCAGAAAATTTGGTTCTTTGGGATTGGGTTATTTCACTTATTTTTAGATAAATAAAAATGAATGTTTTCTACTACATTCCTTTAATTAAAGCCAAGCATCTTTGCTAGATTTTTTAAAGTATGTTTGCTACTTTCAAAATTTTAGTTCTGGAAATTTTGATTGAAAATGTTTAGAATAAAAATAACTAATGTTAAAAGACAGATGATGTATAATTTTGAATGTATTTTCTAATATCACTCTAAGAATATATATAACAAGTTCTATTATTCTATTACCTAATGACATAAAACTGAAAAGTGGGTATTGTAGGGTAACAGTTGATCAGTTTGACTGCAGATCATGTACTCAACCACAGTTCTAGATGGCACAAATACTCAAAAGAGCTGAAATATTGGAAGAAAAATATTAAAATTATGGTGTTATTCAAACATAAGCTCACAAAATATGTATTAAAGTCTACCAGATCCTCTTCTACTATAGTAATTTAAGGAAAAAAGTCTATCAAGTATTTAAAATTTAATCCAGGATGCAAAAATAGTAAAGGTGGAAAAACCACAAATAATAATTAAATGACAGCTCTGAACCACTAAATGATGACAAATGTTAACATTTCAGTTGACATAATTGACTACCTATGTGACAAAATTTTTTTTTCAGTCATCCAAACTTAAATTCTTTAGTCTTTCTTTCTTTGTTCAGTTATGTGCTTAATGAGCTCTTTCAGTTCTAAATTGTGCTTTGAAAGGCCACGATCAGTAATCAAATTTGTTTTCCTGCCTGGTCCAGTGTTTAGCCATATGGTCTTCCTAATCAGGTAAATTAAAATGTACTTTATAAAGAATAGACTGCCTTGATTCTTTGGAATTGGCTTATTTCAGTTAGCATGATAGTCTCTAGTCCCATTTCGTTTACCCGCAAATGTCATAATTTCATTCTTTATGTCTGGATAATATCCCTTTGTTTATATTTACAACATTTTCAGTATTAGTTCATATATTGAAGGGCACCCAGGTTGGTTCCATAGCTTAGCTATTGTGAATTCAGCTGCTATAGATATTGATGTGGCTGTGTTTGGTATCATGTATATCTCAAAAGAACAAATAAAAATATATTTACATTAAAACAAAAAATAGACAGCTCTGTTTGCTTTTGTCTTAAATATCCTATTTAAGGGTTTTGTGGAAGCCACATGTTTCTTCTCTTTGAAGTAGGAAAATTAAAAGTGCCCTGGACTCAGAGGTCCTATAGCGTCTTGTCCTTACACCAATTTGTGCTTTGGCTACCCCTTTTTACCTGCCTCTTTCTCTTTCATTTTATTTAATAGAATCAAAATTCTGAATAGTTTGAAATCCAGAACTTCCCCTTGTTCTTTTCTCCAATATTTGAAGCAATGGTCAATCCACTAACGTCATGTGCCTGAGTCACTCTAAGGTCAACTTGTGAGTTATTAAGTGGAACTGAAATACCCTTCTTGACATCTCTTCAACTGCTTAACTAAGCATCATATAAAGCCCTGATTTATTTTCTTTAGGTAGAGATTATAGTTGAACACATCAAAATTTTAGATCTAGTGAAACCTTTAAGAAAAACATGAATTAATAAACATGTTTTCTATTTTATTCTCAGTATTAACGTTCTTTCTTTCTTCCTTCCTTCCTTTTTCTTTTGTCATTCTCGTTTTCATTTATTTTTTAATGTTTCTTTAATTTGTCCTTCCTTGCTTCTTTTTCTCTTATTTCTCTATATTTTTCATCTTCCTTTTGTATTGTGCATATTAATGACATTTGATTTGGTTCCCATTACCATTCAATATATGTTTATTTTTTCTTTATTGCCACTCATTAAAAATGTGATTTAGGTATATTGTCATATCTCTGCCAGGAATTTAATATGCCCATTTGAGAGTAAAAAATATCTTTAGGGTCTCAACTTTATTAAGATGTAAAATGATAGAAATTTATTTCCTCGGGCATGGACAGAGCAATTTGTAGACAAAAAGAATGTGTTCTCTGAAGCTAGATGTGGTGGCACACAATTGTAATCTTAACAACTTGCTAGACTGAGGCAGGAAGATTGCAAGTATGAGGCCAGTCTCAGCAACTCAGTGAGACTCTCAGGAACTTAGTGAGACCTTGTCTAAAAATATGAAATAAAAATAGGGAGGTAGCCTAGTAGTAAAGTGTGCCTGGGTCCAATCTAAAGAATTTACATTATTAAATAAATAAATTTTAAAAAATATGTTCTCTGCGTTTGGGCATCTTTAAATCTTGTTGTGGAAAAATAGACTAGAAATTCAAAATAAGATGATAAAGTGAAATATATATAATGGCATAACATAAAAATCCAAAATAAAGAACAAGCTATTATTAGAGAGTTAATGGTGAGATGGGTAGTTTCTCATACGTTTTCAGAAGCAGAATTGTTTTCTCACAATGAGTATAAATAAGATATAGGGAATCATATATATTTTTGAGGAGCTGTTTTTTGAAAGAGATGCTGAAAGC